TTATTGATATTTTTGTCAAGTTAAAATCAGTTGCAACGAAGCTTGCATGTTTTGTTATTTAAACGAAAAATATGGCAATTCAAAAAGCAGAACTTTAACTTGAACTATGGACTATTGAATTTCAGGGTGGGACTTATATGCGATTACTTTGCCTGATGGGACAAATGGACTTGATGTTGTTTTCACATTTTTCATGATCAAAGTCCGTAGTTGTATCACATAATATGAAAGTAGATGCCAATTGATAGTGGATACCGTTGTTATATCAAAATTGGCGAAAATCCATATGGGACTGATATGCGGTTATAGGCAGTATAGCACAATTTTATGACCGCCTAAAACTCAATTACAGCACAAACAAATAAAGTTTGATGCAAAAAAAATCAAATTCAACGTAAGAAAACACGCAGCAAAAATAAGCACGTCAGAGTTCGAGCGGCTTACTGCGATCTTTATTTAGAGTTTTTCTTGGCATTTTTAATCCAATACTAGGATTTATCATGCAGAAGTTAGAGTTCAGATCAAGGAGTAAGTCCAGCACATTGTGCCGGAATTATATTCTACACAGCTTGGGCACATCCATCGGCACATTTTCGGCATAGCTTCGGCACAATCTCGTAGGCATCAGATTGGTGTAAATAAAATGGAAGCACTGCTGGACAACTGTCATTAAAGTTGTTCAGAACATTGCGTGCTGTTAGACTGTTTGTTCAGGAACATCTTCTAATTGAATATACCAGAGAAACTCAGACCAGCAGCTCACTTATAGATCTAAATACGAAATGTAGGTTCTTCTAGAGTGGACTCAAGAGGAAGTAACTGCCTCTTCCTTCTTCAGACCTCATTAGTACCCTTAATTCAAATACTGCTGCAACTCACACAAAACGAACTAAAGAAGTCTATTACCCTCTATAGTCGGTCTCCAACAATACTCCCCATCGGTTCCAACTCTTTCCGGCCGAAAGTCTAGGTTTCTGGTCTGCCGTTGAGGGCATTATAAAACACTAAAACACAGGACTTTTATTACCCTGTGGAACACAAAACACCGAAATTTCGCACACCCGCCACTTCCTGCGTCATCCTCAATCCGATTTATCCTTGCGATTTCAAACCAAAACATTCAAGGTGTCAGAAATACCGGGTTGCCGGGATGAGTATTTTACAAACAATCGCAGCTAGCTCTAATACCGGCACAATCAGCATACTTGCGGCACACTGACAAAAAAAGATGATCCAAAATTGGTGTGCGGAGTGACCTACCCTAGGGGAAGGACAGCTCCAAGTATCAGTATCAATATCGATGGTGGAAATATTAAATATTTTAATATGTGTGATATTTGAGAATCTTATACTTAGTCTGACAGTTGTTTGTGTTTGTTTTTGACTATTTTGGTTTTAAGTGTACATTTGACATTCGTTTAATCAAAAATGTATTTCACACGAGAGGCAAGTCATTCCTTTGTGATCTTGCTGGCCACCACCAAGAAAATCCGCTCTTTGTTCTCTTAAATTTGGCATTATTTGGTAGCTGTTCTCAATGCACATAATCGGCCGCACTTCCATTCGCAGGAATTAATTTCCACGAATTTTTCATCGTCTGCGAACCAATGTGCTGTTATCCGATGGAACGGGAATCGATTGACAACGTCGCCCCTGTTAACGGAATCCTAGAGTGATGGTTCCGTGGTCGTATTACGCTCGATTCGCCATGAGCATTCAACTTGGAGAGATTTAAAAAACAATTGTTGCTGGCGGACCGTTTTTATCATGAAAAACCGAATTCGAAATCGATCAGAGCTATCGAAAACGAAAATCTAGGCAAAAATTATGACAAACAGAAAGCTGAAGTAAACATAAACAACAACGGTGTAACGTCATTGAGTGTATGCGTTAAAGTTACACTGTTAATTTTTTTACTTTGAAGCTTTCCGCTTGACGGTTAATATCATTAATATTTATACTAAAAATTATAATAACTACCAATTTGAGCAATTTTTATCTCAAATATTACTTTAGATCGAGTTGTACTTCCCCTAGGACCTACCCCTTGGTTCAGATGCTAAAGGTCCGTTTAGACTATCTGATTTTTGGTCAGATTTTAACCGCCACCATAATGAAAAATCTGCTCGATTTTACTTTCGACACCCCCTGTTTTCTGGTGTTCACACTGCTTGCACATGTCGAAAGAACTGTCAATTTAGATTTCAAAACAAAACTTTATCAGGCATCAAAAGTAGCGGAGCCGGCGGTATAGTGGTAAGTGTAATTACCTCTCACCCCAGCTGGCCTGGGTTCAATCCCAGTCAGCGCCGCCGGAATGTTCTGAGGCATAACATCTCCGATCACGCCTTCCTTCGGAAGGGAAGTAAAGCCGTTGGTCCCCGGTTCATGAGTTTGATGGGTCGATAAGTAGGGTCCAGGTGTGGGAGCTGCCTCCCTGGCGTCGGTAGCATTGGTGCTCAGCACGGAAAACAAGATCGACGGAAAACAAGATTGACGAAAAACAAAAATATGAGGAGATGAAAGTATAGAGTTGATAGTTCCTTTAGAGTACTACGGCAGTATGAAAATTGTATATAGAGAGTAAAAATCGAGCAAGGACTACTTTGAGGAAGGTACAAATAGGGTTGATCATCTCTCTTCACCCTTCGGGTGTAATTCTGTAAAGTTTTCTGAATGCTGAATTTCTGCTCTGAAGATCTACGAACTGCCCTGAAGTTCAATAAATTCCTCAGTAGATCTCCGAACTTCTCTAAGGTTCTGTAAATTTATTTGTGGATTCTTGAACTTCCGTAAAGTTTTGCAGATTTATCTGAAATTCTTTGAAATTCTTTGAAATTTACAAAGCTCTACAAATTATATGAAAATATTTGAACTTCGCTGAAGTTTTCAAAATTTCTCGTGGAGGCGAACCTGCCTCAGGCTGAAAACCTTCTAAATAAAGATAAATCAATTAATCAATCAATCAAAATTTCTCTGAAGATTTATGAATTTCTCTGAAGTTATGAAAATACTTTTAAAGATCGACGAACTTTTCCACAGTTCTGTGAGCTTTGCTAAAATTTTGCATTTCTTTTTTTATAAATATGTACAAACATCCTGAAGCTCTGCAGACTTGTCTTAAGATCTACAAACTTCTCTGAAGTTCTTCAGATCTATCTATTCCCAACTTCCATTGAGTTCTGCAAAATCTTGGACTTTCGTACTTCGCTGAGATTTGATTTTGGAATTGAAGTACTTTTCTGAAAATTTACGATTTTTTCTTATGATTTCACATTTTTCTGAAACTGTGAAGCTTTCTGCACCACTGCATGTTTTTGAAGATCTGCAAAATTCCTTGCAGTTCTGCATATATCTCTTAATATATACTCTTTTCAAGTTCTGCATATATCTCAATAAATCTCTAAGTAGATCTGCAAACTTTTCTGAAGATTTCTAAATACCTCTGCAGGCTCTCGGGCCACCATGAAGATCTGAAAATTCCCCTGGAGATCTTCTAAATGACCAAAGTTCTCAAAATTTATCTGAAAATATTTTAGCTTCCTTGAAGTTTTAATTATGTCTCTCATGATCTACAAATTTTCCGATTTCCAATAGGTGCTGAGCCTGGACCAACGGCTTTACTCCCCCGTGATCAGAGATGTTATGCCTCAGAGTATCCTGGTGGCACTGACTGGGATTGAACCCAGGCTTGCTGGGGTGAGAAGTAATCACGCGTACCACGGTGGTGTCGCCACAATTCTGTAAATTTCACACATTTCCATTAAAATTTCTGAGATTCTAAAAATGTATCAGGAAATATCCACACTTTCGTGAAGGTCTTCAAATTTATCTGAAAATCTATGACTATTCTTGTGATTTTTTCCAGAAGTTCTGTAATTTTTTTCAACGTTCTGTAGCTTTGTTTTGAAGATCTACGAACTATTCTGATTTTCAATATTTTTTCAAACTGCTGTGATTTTTTTTTCATTTCACTGTGGATTTTTGAACTTGCCAAATTTTTCTTATAGTTTTACAAATTGATCTTAAAATATTTTAGCTTGCTTGAATTTTTAAATATTTCTTTGAAAATTTATCTAAAGATCCACGATCTCTCTTGTAATTTTTCTGAATTTCTGCAAATTCCCTTTAATTTCTGTATAATTTTCTGAAACTTTGTAGTTCTGTTCTCAAGATCTACAACAAATTTCTCAGCAGATCTCCGAACCCCTCTGAAGCTCTAAAAGAATATTAGTTGGCTCTCAGACCTGCTGTCCCCTATGTAATTCCAAGCATTAACCTCACAACCATCTAGATGCATGAAAAGTGATTGCTCAATGAATATGCATTGAACTTAGCTCAATTACCATTCATTATTGCAAATGAAGTTAATATGTAATAATTTTAACCCGGAAAAGTCATTGAAAGATTGTTACATTTTCGAGTATCGTGTAACATATGTAAGTTTTTCTACAGAAACATGAAACATTGTGTAATGGTGCAAAACATGTCAACATGCGATTAACATTGCAAAATCTTACGCGCTGAGCTCCAGGAGTAACATGATACTTCTTGGCCACAATTGAGGTCATCAACTGTTGTGAGATCCTCCTACTGCCCAGTAGCCATAAGACAAAGCACCCACCCGCCATGATAGATAAACGGAAGTCGCTGGCCACGCACTTGTTTCGGATAAAAGTTACGCCACCAAGCGCTCGTAAGCATTTCAACCGGATACCGGTGTACCAGTTGTCTTGTTTAGCACGCTAGTCTCAGCTCTCAAAACAGTCTAGAATGAGGAAAAACAGTATCAAATTCCCACAACAGAATCGACCCTTCATGAAAGGTACCTTAAACTCGCGGCTGCCGCTCAAAATACACAGGAAAAAGTTGCATCATTTGCAAATTGTTTGCAGCCACATCGACTGTGGCGCACTTATAGGTTTTTTGTTTGCTTTGCCTAACCGACTGACTGTTTGTTGCACTTGAAGCCCGATCCAAAACCAAGCCAGTGGGCCCCGTTCGAAGAATCAAAGACCCTCGGCGGAGTTTGCATCGACGCGCGCACTCGAAAGGACGGTTCGACGGATTTGTGCTACAAAAATCCAAGGTCTTACCGTGGAAATTCCGTGGGAAAAATCGGTCGACCTAGTTTGGACTCGTGGGTGTTCGAAAGAATCGCATTTTGTGTTGTATAGGTGACTAGAAGGAACTGAATAAGCTGCTTAAAAGAGATTACCTCGGTTGAAGATTGATCAGTTTCGAGTTGACGAGTGACACGTTGAAGGAAACATGAAGACTCTTTTGGTGCTGGTCGTGGTTTGCCTAGTGCTCTGTGAAGGACGCATATCGGAATATCGAAGATCGAAAAGTAAGCGCGATAGGGATTTGGAAGAAGATTCGTATGAAGAAGACTACGGTGATCTCAGTCTGGAGGAAGCGGAAGAAGATAGTGCACCCCGTTATGATCGAAGGCTGCGTGCCAGTGTGTACCAACCGTCGTATGGATACTCAAAATCATATAGGCGAAAGTATGATCGTGAAGATGGTGTAAAGCTGCGAAAGCCAAAGTACGCAGAAGAGCGAAGCCGGGGGAAATATTTGAGCTACGAGAAGGGACCCCACAAAACGTTCAAAAAGAACATCGTTTCAAAGCAGCAGAGTTTTACACCGGAAGTAAGAGATCGCAAAAAGGAGCATCGATCTGCACCGATGTATGAACCCATGTACCATTATCCTTCACCACCTCCGCCTTCACCGCCACCATCCATGCCGTATAACAAGCCAGCGCCTCCGAAGGCACGATGCAGTCAACAGCTTCTGATTTCGTGCACTCCAACGGTTACGAAAGTCCCATGCAGTGCCGATATCGGTGAACACCACCCAGCACCACACCACATTCCAGAATCACCATATTATGAAGCACCAGCCTACAATGCGCCGGAACCTGCCTACAGCCCACCAACCTCCCAATACCAGCCACCTTCGAAACCATCCTACCATTACCAACCAGTGCAGCCGGAACCAGTTCATAGACCGCTGTACCACAAACCAGGTCAACATCCCTACTACCATTCGAAGCCTGAGTCACACTTCTCAGCGCCGCCCGCCTATCACCAATCATACCAGCCAAGCTACAAGTCCAACGACCAGACACCTTCCTTCGCGGCTCCCGTTAGTGAAGACAACGACGAACCTGCGGTTCAACCGGTCATCTCGGCATTTCGGACGACCACCCAACGAGTTCCGACCGTACCGGCAGACAGGGACCAGAACTTTCAGAACGCCGAAAACCACAATCACCGTTCGCAGAATGGCGGTGACGAGGCCCAAAATCAGAGGGAAGCATCCGGAGACGAACCCGAATCCGCCCAGGGAGTCACTTCGAGTACCGCAGAACCACAGCCCAGCAGCACCCCATCGGAGGACGAAAACGCGCAGCGCTAGCCTCTTGCATCCATACTTCTCCAGCACCCTTCCCCTTCTCATTCCATCCCTCACACTCCACTCACCTAGACTTACGATTTAATTTATTGTCATCTACAAAGGAAGCAAATAAAGCGAGTTGAGCTCTGAAAACAACAACTGAAAAACCTGACCAGAAGAGTGTTTTCTGCTGACAACGTGATGTTATTCGAATGGGTTTCGGTTCAATTTCGATGGCAAAAAATAGCACTGTCCGCTGGTGGCAAAAAAAATGTGGACGTGTCGCTTCGCACCTGTTTGACTTTATCGGATTGACAATTGTGCGACATAATGTTCCTAATTGTAAGCTTTTCGTATCGGGGTTGGTATTCGATTTGATGACATAGGTGGATGCTGTTCTTTGGTTTTTCAATAATTGCCATTTTGAAACGCTGAGCAAAACGAGTTCAAACTTTACTATGAGAGTCCATAGGAAGAAATTGTTGCCCAGTCGAGGTTTAAAGGATTGATCAGTCGAGTAGATTTTTGAATATATGTAAACCGCTGCCCAGATGTTCAGAAAGGGAATTTAGTAGGACAGAAGTCCTAGTTCTTTTGCTTTAATATACAGACGTTTGGTTCTTGTGTTTTGAAAGTCCCTTCTTTTGGTGATTCTAAGCATTAGGGTGGTCCTCAAATTAAATGATATTCAAAATTAAAATGACATGACATGAGATAATTTAAATAATGTCTTTGCTCTCATTCTATGAGTTTAGAAATGTAGATAGGGTGGCTCTGATAAAACAGTTTTTAGCTCTAACAAGTTGATTTCTGTTTTCATTTGAGAAACATTTTCGAAGGACTTCAAAAGTACGAGAGGACGCATCTTCAATCTTCAACCTTCAATGTTGAGAATTTATAGATGTTGTTTTGCGAAAGTTTTGATGATTTTGTGTACAAATAATCCATTTTTCTACGACAATTTTTCTCCAGAATGAGCAAACATGAGCAAAAGTTGTACGCATATTCTCAAAGTACTCATAATACCAAGGCCAAATAGGACAAACAATTAAAATTTAAGGCTTTACCTTCTCCAAATTGCATGAATCTTTGCAAAATTATGGGTTAAAGGCTCTCATTCACATTTTTGCAAAAATTCGGCCATTTTGGATTTTGTACTTTTTATTCAAAATGGCTTTTTTCACATTTTTCAATAAATTGTAGCACTTAAACATCACTTAACTGATCGAAATGATGTCTGAGACAAATTTGTTAAGACAAGTTTAGTAATTGTGGAAAAAAATATAAATGGTATTTTTTTTAATATTGAGTAAAAATTCAGAATCTGAAATATTTCAAAAAGTATGTCTTCAATTTTTATAATTTATTTAGCTAATGAAACATGTGAACTGTAGGAGTATTTAAAACCATGGACAATCGATTTTTGACAAAAATCGCAAAACATTTAATTTGGTCATACTAGCTTTCAAACGTAATTTTTGCACCGATAAGGATTTAGAATTTCTCAAATATTGTTTCCTGTCCATAAATTACATAAAAAAGGAGTACCGGCAAAAAGTTCAAATATTAGATCAAGTGTCCATCCCAAGTAACCAACAAGCCCGTTAATCGCCCGTTTAGGTATATAAGGCTGCTATACGACTGATATAAAGTTCGGAAACCCTATATTTATCTTATTTCGCAAAAAGTCGATTATCGGGTAGTTAGCGGGCTTGGTGGTTACTTGGGATGGTTTTAGATATTAAAAAAATGGGAATTTTTATGAGCTTTTTTTTAAAAATAAATGAAAAATATTGGAGCTAAACTTTTTGAAATATTTGAGTATTTAACACTTCTTTTGATTTTTTTTTCCGAGCAAGACTTTATTTTCTCTACATCTTTGTCCCAGAAGTCATTTCGATTAGAAGGTAATGTCTATTAAAAAATACAAAGACGCCATTTTGGAAAAAAAATACAGCACCCAAAAAGGCCGAATTTTTGTAAAAATGTGAATAATCGCCAAAACACACAATTATGTAAAGTTTTATGCAATGTCGAGTTTTTTCGATTCGTCAATTGACGTGGGACTGCTCAATTCTCAACAACCTTCAAAATATGCGAATAATTAAATATCGAAGAATATTTTTAGAATAAGATAGAGTCTAGTATATGAGAGGAGCGGATTGGCTGGTTTTGAGCCAAACGAACTGTCAAAGCCAGAGCCAATCGAGCAGCGCCTATCTTGATTGCATTGATTGGCAGTGTAGCTAGCAGTCTTGTAAGCGGCCACGGTAGTCGACACAATTTCTGTGATAATCGACTGCTTTTGCCTCCGATATTTGCAAAACGAGCTATCACAGTACAGTAACAAACTAAAATGTCAAATGACATGCTCTGTCATACGACACTATCGCCGAAGACCGTCACGAATGTATGTATTTTAGTTGTGCTTGTGTGAATTCTGAACATAGCAAACAATGATGTCCTAGTAATAACATTTCTGATCAGAAATGGTTTATTTTACACAAAATTGAGGAATTAGAACGAAATCACACATGTCATATGATACTTATTTGATAATTAAATTTTTTTCGAATGCTATTCTACCGTTTGTGTTGTGTGAGAGACGACAGTAGAGCATGAGTGTACGAATACAAACAGACAACCAAGCAAGTGTAGTAAAAACCATCAACTGTTTCAACCACTGGTTGCTAGAACTCACGTAGGCATAGGTTGCCAAGGCAGTTTGTTTTGAATCCACTCCTCTCTTATACTAAATCCTTTCTAGATAGAATGATAGGTTGATAAGATCAAGGGGAGGTCACTCTACACACTTGGTTTGCGCCAACTTTTTTCTCAGTGTACCTCAGTGTGCCGTGCTGTACCGGCAGTGCCAAGAAGTCATTGAACTGACTTTTGATTACTTGTGAATAATGCCTTGTTTGGCAACCCGGTATTTAACAGCTCTTGTTTTTGTTTTGTTTTTCAATGTTTTCAAAAACGACACGGACTCCACGACTCCAGTTGGGACTACACACTGAATGCAGCCGTCTCCAAGGATGCCTGCAACGGACGAGCTCCGTTGCTACACGATCCTTCCATCTTCGGCGGAAGGCTGACCCCGCACAACGAACGTCAATCATTAATCAACCAACTCTTCTGGGAGCCGGTGGAGGAAACGGATTTGCACCGAATTTTTCACCGCCCGAGCATCATCCGTCGGAAAACTGGAAACCAACACCGGCCGGAACACACGTCGTACTGATGAAGGACGCACCGCTGACCCGAAACGGACAAGCCAATTTTCTAAGCAGAACTACTTGTCAGAGTCCACCTACCCGTACACCCTGCCGGACAATTCGATCAGCTTCAAGGTCTACAGCGCTTCCAAAACAATCGCTTCCCAGGCCAGCAAAAATCGCATTCTCCACTTCTTCAATACCCGTATGCCGTCCGAGGATCTGCTGCTGACTGCCTTCACCACCAAGGACTGCCACCCGTCGCAAGTGCGAATGTTCCCGCTGAAATCGGAAAGTTCCTCCTCCGGATTGGTCGAGTTCCCGAGCGTAGCCCTGGCAATGAACGCCATCATGAAGTACAACCACAGCGCGATCGATCACAAATGCACAAAACTCCCGTTCATTATGAAGCTGTTAGTTGAAAGTGCAAAAAAGGCAGGAGTAAAAATAATTTGTTGAACTATTTGAGATTTTGCCAAGACGGTCCTCCACCATTACATGTTGGACGATGGAATGATTGGTGTAGCAGCCCCCATGGATGTATTCGAGCAGTTCGAATGGTACAGTTTTTGTTTGGTTGTTGACTTTCCGATTAAAACTCAAGCACCGCTTGTCGTGACCGGCCCAAGATTTCCAGCGTCGGCCACGGCTACACGAATTACCTATGCAACTCCCACGGCTGCTGCTGCTTCCAATGCTGCTGCTGCTTTAGTTGCTGCTGCTGCTGTTCCTTCTGCTGGTCCGTTTCCTCTAAAATTCGTAAAAAAAAAAGACGGACCAGCAGCAGCATTCGAAGCAGCCGCAGCCGTGGGAGCTGCATCGCTAGTTCGTGTAGCCAATGCCCGGAAACCTCGGTCAGTTCAAGATACGTTGTTAGCTGTTCTTCGTCTGGAGGAAATGTGGATGCGACTGCCGTCGCGGGTGTAACGATTTTGAGAATCCATGGCGTGACTTGGTGGAGATTCACGGTTGTTTTGAAAATAATTTGACTAGGAGTGGCAACATCAATAACATTTTGACACATGCATACTGCGCAGGCACAGAAAAATTTCAGTGTTGCCAGTAACTTAAAGATCATAAAAATTGTAACCATGGGTGCCAAACAACGCCAATGACTGCACCCGGGTGTGCCCAAGTTTGATTTTGGCACACTGTGTAGAATGACCAACCCCTTGGATAAGATAGAATTTTGATTTATTGAGCAAAGTTGCTTGAAAATAAATTATTTATAACTTTGTCTGTCTGTCCTGTCTGTCCTGCCTGTCCTGCCTGTCCTGTCTGTCCTGTCTGTACTGTCTGTCCTATCTGTCTTGTCTGTCCTATCTGTCTTGTCTGTCCTGTCTGTCCTGTCTGTCCTGTCTGTCCTGTCTGTCCTGTCTGTCCTGTCTGTCCGGTCTGTCCTGTCTGTCCGGTCTGTCCTGTCTGTCCGGTCTGTCCTGTCTGTCCTGTCTGTCCTGTCTGTCCTGTCTTTCCTGTCTGTCCTGTCTGTCCTGTCTGTCCTGTCTGTCCTGTATGTCCTGTCTGTCCTGTCTGTCCTGTCTGTCCTGTCTGTCCTGTCTGTCCTGTCTGTCCTGTCTGTCCTGTCTGTCCTGTCTGTCCTGTCTGTCCTGTCTGTCCTGTCTGTCCTGTCTGTCCTGTCTGTCCTGTCTGTCCTGTCTGTCCTGTCTGTCCTGTCTGTCCTGTCTGTCCTGTCTGTCCTGTCTGTCCTGTCTGTCCTGTCTGTCCTGTCTGTCCTGTCTGTCCTGTCTGTCCTGTCTGTCCTGTCTGTCCTGTCTGTCCTGTCTGTCCTGTCTGTCCTGTCTGTCCTGTCTGTCCTGTCTGTCCTGTCTGTCCTGTCTGTCCTGTCTGTCCTGTCTGTCCTGTCTGTCTTGTCTGTCCTGTCTGTCTTGTCGGTCCTGCTGACCCTTATAGACTCGGAAACTACTGAACT